TACACTGGGGCCATAGTATAGTGGTCACTGAGTATTATTGAGCACTTATTGTACATTTTTACTAATAGAATCAGTCACTGAAGTGCATTTCTTATGCCTAAAGCTCATCAGCATGCTCCCCCTCCTCCTCCTCCTCCTCCCCCTCCCCCTCCTCCCCCCTCTGCCAGTGTGTTCTCCAGCCTAGCCTTCTCTGCAGCAATCTCTTCCTTCTTGATGCAGTTGTTGTACTTCCTATTCTTGGTGAACTGCTGGATCGTAGCATGGGTCGCCCAGTCTTCTTTGAACACAGCAAGCTGAGGAGCCTTCTCACGAGCCTGTGTAATGGTCAGTATGTTTTCCATGCAGGCACTGATGACTTACATAGGCATAGATTGCTGAGAGGAGGGCAGGGGGATGTGCAGTGATATTCCTCTGCATGTCCAAGTTGTACTTCTTGCACACATCTCATACATCTTACTGTAGAGTACATTAGTTAGCATATAGTGTACATAGAATAAAATAATACTTACTTGGAACGATTTGAAGAGCTCCCTCTGCTCCCCAAGGCCCATTTCTTTCTGGAGGTTGTAGCCATTGTAATTTTGCCCATGCCCAGCTTCCCCCAGTGGCTTAGGGATGAGCATGGACATGGCAGCATCTTCCTTCTTATTCTTCTTCTTCTCCTGCTCAAGAAGCTTGAGTAATTTGGCAATGTGGGCTGTGCATATATCAGTAAGTGATGGAAGTAAGTGAAGCAAAGAACTCACCTTCAGAAGCAAGTGCTTTGGCCTTCTCAGCCAAAATCTCCTGGTCCTTTGCTGCAAGCTTCTCCTTGAGGGTGAGGGCCTCTTCTGGCCAGATGCTGGAGTCTGCATGACACTTGCAGGCTGGGGAGTGTCAGTGGCAGGGGGAGGGCAAGGAAAGGAGACCAGAGTCATCACAGAGAGAGGAGCAGGGGAAGGGGGATCAGGAGGGTTAAAGTCGAGGGAGGAGAGCAAGTTGTCTGAGGGGGGAGCAGGAGGAGAAGCACAAGGAGCAGGGGGAGTAGCAGGGGCAGGAGGGGGAGCAGCAGGGGGGAGACGTCTGGGCTTCTTGGGCTCCAGGCTTCTTGGGCTCTGGCTTGTGGGGAGCCATGGTGGTTGAGGAAAGAGGGGGATGAGGGGGAGAAGGGGGGGAAATGTGTTGATGCATCTGCATATATACATTTAGTTAGTTCACCTATTAAAGTATGTCAGTGGGGCTCAAAAGAGCATGTGGGGGAACCAAAAGGATTGGCCACAGAGTGAAACAAGGTGTTGACTTACTGGATTTGGACTTTAGAGGGTCCGAATGAGTAAACTTACCTTGAGAGCATACATGCAGCTCTCTCCCACACTCTCTCCCAATCCTCAACATGTCCAAAGTCCTCTGCAATTGTGGGTGTGGTCAGATGGTGGCAGGGTCAACTCAGCATCTGCACATGAAGCACAACAAGGAAGAAGAACTACAGAAGATTGTCAGCCAGCAAGAAGAGCACTTAAAACAAGAGGAATGCCAACAGCATGTCCAAAGCTTTCTCATGTGTTTCCACAAGAAGAAAAAGCCCTCCCTGGACCTCCAGATGGAGGTTGAGGTAGAGGAGACAGGACCCAAATTGGAAGAGGTCAAAATCGAGGTCCCCCAGGTGTTAGAAGATGGTCCGCCATTGCTGGAGCCCCAGGATGTTGACTGGGAGATGGCAGAGGTGGGGGAGGGAGAGGATGTGGTTGTGGAGGAGGGGGAGGAGGGGGAGAAGGGCAAGGATGTGGAGGATGTGGTCATGGAGGATGAGGAGGATGAGGATGAGGATGAGGAGGAAGAGCTGGAGCTGGAGAACTTCAGCAATAAGTTCAGGCTCAAATGGCAAATGATACCTGGTGAGTATTGATCTTTTTAAGTTAGACTAGGCTAACAAGAGCCACAGGAACTATCTGCAAGAGATCAGAAGAGATTCAAATCCTTTCACATGAAGATGGAGGCTCACCTTACGATTTCCCAGTACAAAGTTCTCCAAGAAGCTTCTCCAGAAGTCTTTCCACCCCCCACCAAAGTCCTTTGATGTGTAAACATTGTATCTGTTATCAAGACTGTCAGCTTCAATTGCTGTATCAACTCCTGTGTGGCTTACACAGGAGTTTTCAGCAAAGAAACCTCTTGCCCACACTGCAGCAAGCCCTGTTTGAAGCCCAATGGCCAGGCTTGTCATCAGTATGCATACCTGCCCCTTATCCCTCAGCTGCAAGCACAGTACACTCAAGAAGATTGAGCAAAGCTGCTGACCTCATATTGAGGTTGGCAGAATGCAAACACACCTGTAATGACCAATATCTTCCAAGGTCAACTCTACCAAGAACTCTGTGATTGCTATATCAAAGTTAGCGGAAAGACATTGCCTTCAAAATACTTCAACTCACCTAGAGATCTTGCTCTGGGCTTGTCAACAGATGGGTTTGCCCCATTCAAAGGACCTCATTCGACTGCCTGGCCAACAATTATCTTCAATTACAACCTCCCCCCAATGATTTGAACTCACCTGGAGAACATCCTCTGCATTGGGTGTATCCCTGGCCCCAGGCAAATGAAGGACATGGATTCCTACCACTATCCATTAGTGGAAGAACTTATAAAGCTGGCCAAGGGTGTGAAGACTTACAATGCTCACAAGAAGGAGTTCTTCCCCCTTCATGCACACTTAATCCTGCTCTTTGGGGACATGCCTGCTGTAGCCAAATTAATGAACATGAAGGGGCACAATGGCCTCCTCCCCTGCAGAATGTGTAAGATCACTGCAGTGCACAGCCCAGAAGAGAGGGGAAGCTATGTACCTCTCAACAGAGCTCGTTTCCCCCTCCAGGAAGGCCAGCAACCCTCCCACAACCCCCTCAACCTCTCCCTATATGAGCATGCTTCAATGCTTCACAAGGCCAAGCAAGTGTCAAATGCTGCAAGCAATGCAGAGTTGAATTGCCTTGCTAGGGACTCTGGGATGAAGGGAGTTAGTATCTGGAGGCATCTGGGAAGCATAGTGTGGCCCACCTCATTTCCCCTTGACTTCATGCATCTCATTTTCAAAAATATTGCCCCCCTCCTCCTCAAACTCTGGATGGGCAAGCATCCTCTCTGCAAGGAGGATGCTGGCTTTGTAATTCCTGCAAACATTTGGTCAGCCATTGCCTTACAAGTGGGAGAGAGTGGGGCAACCATACCTGGAGCCTTTGGATGCCGAGTCCCCCATCTCCTCCTCAAGCAGCATGAGTTCACAGCAGAGGCATGGATGCTGTGGCTCACCCAGTTGGCACCTGTTGTAATGTCAGGAAGATTTGAAGGGAGAGCTTACTATACTCACCTAGTGAAGCTCTCCCATTGTGTTACTCAATGCCTCTCCTTCTCCCACCCTCCTGGCTTTGTGGACAATCTTTGCAAGGCTCTGGCTGAGTGGGTGGTTGAGTATGAGCAACTGTACTCATGAGGAGACCCAGCACACGCTGGACTGTCCCCAGTGACAGTCCATTTGCTTCTGCACCTTGAAGATTGAGTGCAGAACAGTGGGCCACTCTGGGCATCAGCTAAGTCATTTCTAGATAATAAAACACTTACTTTTTGTCCGTCAGAATAGTGTAGTTAGTAAATGAATAACATTATTAGTGACTGCGGGGTAGACAATGACTTACCTGATTTGGAAAGTCTGTTGGTGAGGAATCTCTTAGTCTTAGAAGCAGAACTGACCACCTTTGGTGGTCAGTTGTTGTCAAGAGTGGGGAAAGTCATCATGGAGAAGAGAGAGGAGAGGGAGGAAAGGAAGGTGTTCTGCAAATATAGAGTGATAAGTAAATGTTACATTGGGTGGCGCAGATTACTTACTTTGATTGCCATGTGAGAAGAAGGGGTTTTGACAGTATTGGAGGGTGTGAAGGAGGGGATGAAGCTGATTGTGGGAATGATGAGAGAGAGACTGACAATGAGAGACAGAAGACTTGAGGCACACAGGAGAGCATTTGCTGGGCCCTTTGGAGGTTTGTGGCATAATGAATGTTATTGGTAGCTACAATAACATTACCTAGACTACACAATTAGAGTACCTGTAGGAAACATTAGAAATAATCAAAGAATTTATTAGTTTTACTCACCTACAGATAGGAAATGAGAGAACTACTCCCCAAGTGCCTTGTTAATTGCAGTGAGTGTTTCCTCTGCTGCTAAGGCACTTGCTTGTGCCATTGTGTCAAACTCGTCTTCAGCTGGGGGGATGTATTCTTCCCCAGCATGCTTGGCATGAGCCTTCACCAAGATAATCTTGCGATGTGCCAGGTTCAACCAGGAGTAAACATTTTTGGGCTTTGGGGGAGAGAGAGGGGGAGGAGTGGGAGAGCAAGGAGGGGGAGTAGTGGGAGTGGGAGTGGAGGGAGCAGGAGGGGGAGGGGGAGAGGAAGGGGCACCTCCTTGCCATTCTGGAGAGAGTGCAAAGAGGTAGGAGGGAGGGTTGTTGAAGTAGGGATTAGGGGAGTTGCTGAGGATGAGCAGGGAGGGCTGCTGCTGTTGCTGCTGCTGCTGTTCCCACTGTTGCAGGGCACACAGCAGCTCTTCAGCATCAACTGGGACTTCTCCCAGTCTTTGAGGGAGATGTCAAAGCATGGGATGCATGATCCTCAGTGTGTGGCTTGGCCCAGGCTTGTTAAGCTTGAAGACTTGCTGGCAAAGGACAGCATCAGCAAGTTTTGACTTGATTTTGGCAGCTTTGAAGGCCAAAGTGATGGGGAAGTCCTTGTACTCCTCCACAATTTTCTTCTTGCCAGATTTATGAGCACTCTTGTTCACACACAAGCCTTGTTGAGCTTGTGTTTTCGACTTTGCATTTGGTTTGACATAGTTAACTTTGATGTTGAACTTGGGGTGGCCCTTCATGATATGAATGTCATAGAGCCTCTTGTGCTCTTCTTTCACCCAGGCAAGTGTGAGATTTTCGTCCTTCCAAGGCACAATTGCCATTGGATTGGACTTGATCACATCTTGATGAATGACTGGGTGAAGGATTGGGATGCCATCAGTGATGATTCGCATCCTGATGCCTTCTGGGAGTTCCAGAGTGTCAAGAACTCCAATGAAGTTCTTGATAGAGGGGAGGATGTCTGGCAACACCCACTGCCCATGCTTGATGCTTGCTTGCAGGTACCAAAAGAGACTGGTGAGAGTTTGAACTTTTGCCTGAGTATGCAGCCAGACAAAGCATGCATACTTGAACATCATGATCTCCATGAGATCATGCATTTTTTGGGCTATTGAAAAGCCCCAGAAGTCTTCAGGCTTGCTGAAGAACTTCTTGAGGGCAAGGGAGGGGGGCAGGGCGTCGAGTTCCTGCTTCATGGCCCACATGTAGAGGTCGTGCAACTCCACAAGCATCTTGATCCACCAGGGATCAATGCTGCCTGGCCAACCACCAAACTCCCGGACCCACTCCCACATTTTGTCCTGGGGATTGAATCTTGTGGGGCTGCACTTTCCCAGATCTTCACCGGCTTTAATGCTTGGATGAAGATCTTGCTTGGGGATGAGAGGGGAGAAGTTGGAGAGGGGGAGGGGGATCCATTGGATTGCAGCACTTGTAGGCTCAGGAGGGGGGCCTTCACAGTAGGGGAGATGGGGCAGGTTGGGGTCATACACCTGAGTGTAGACAGTTCCATCAAGGTTGCTATGCACCCAGAGACACCATGCATGGTCTCTGGGGTTGTATGCAACCTCACCCTCACCCTTGCCCTCAAGCAAAGCATCAAAACGCTGCTTGAGGGCCCTCCACCTTTTCTTCCTCTGCAGATCATTCATCACATCCTACTTGCCATGGGGATTGCAGTAGTAATGCACTTCAATATTCTCCACAGAGAAGGTGGTGGAGAGTTTGGGGTCGAGAGGGCAGTAGAGAATGCTGGGCTGCTCTTGGTAGTGCCTGCTAATGTCCTTGGTGTAACAGTCATAGAGTGTGAGGTGCTCCAGGCCAGAGCACCTTTGATTTACTATTGATAGTTAATAAAATAATTAATTAAAGGTATATTAAAAGATGCACCTTGAGTGCTAGGCTCTCTTATGGTACTGCTGGCCTTCTGTGAGTGCAACACAATCCAACAATTGTTGATGATCAATAACCAAACAGGCAACAAGCAAATCAGAGAGTAGTGAGTCATACATCAATCAATGCCTCAACATTTGTTCACAAATGGAGGGATTGACAGGGGTGTTATAGAGTGAATGGGGATTGGCAGCCAACAGGCATGATTTGTGTGTGTCGTGTGCACATTTGGAATGATTAAAGCTTCGTGTTTAGAACCTAATGACTTTGGACCATGGGGTTCCTAAGAGATTTGCTCTAAAGAGCTACAGGGGCTATACCTAGGGTTCTATATATGTCTAGGTATGGAAGTAAAAGGGAAGCAAAGACTGTGGCTGACTATACAGCTTGCTTAGGGCAGGCACCTTATGTCTCTTGTCTGGTCAGTCCCACACAATCTATGACCAATGTCCCATGTTCTGGGATCTGTCCTTCCTGGAGTTGGGTGATTGTAGTATTGGCTGTTGTTTGGGGTGTTGTGCCATGTGACTGCACTCAGATCATTGTCAATTGCAGTTGTTCACAATTGATTTTAGGGACGTCCCCTGACACCTTCTGCAGGCCAGCACCTTTGAACCAGTCATCTTTGAAACTGGGATCTCCCTGAGGGGAATCCCAGATTCCTGCAAGAGCACTTGCAAAGACCATCTACAAATGTTGAGTCAGTATTTGATGCATTAAAATACTGACGCACCTTTGAAAAAGCAGTGTGGGGTGGGGACCAGCATCTTTGTGCACTTGTGCACTCCCCCATTCAACAGTTCCACAATCTCTGTCCTCCAAATGGAGGATGGGGAGAGGGAAGGACGGGGGGAAACAGTCTTGGGCTCAGGTGTCAGGGCACCAGCTCATTGCTTGGTCAAGAGACATGACTAAGCCTTTATGACATGGAAGTAGCTGGTATACCTTGGCATGTGCTGGAACCTGCTGGAAGGATTGGATGGTCAGGCAACCTGCTGTGCATGGCTGTGCATGACCTCATATGACCTCATCCTTGGTCATATGACCTG